AGGCCTGTGCGCACAATAAGCGGTAGAGGGCGGCTGGCGCGTTCGGGCACACGTGTGATGCTTCCATGATTGATGGACATATTTTTCATTGCGCCCATCTTTGAGAACAGATGTGGAGTCTGGATAGTCGGTAGGCGGCGCATGAAGCCCACGAGACGAATTCATTAACGACATTGGGGCCTTACGACACACTCACCCGCCCCTCGCCTTGACAGGAAAGGCAGACATCGTGGGGAATCGAATTCCGCACCTCTGGTTTCCCAGACGCGCAATGGGTGTCAACCACTACGCTACCGATACCCTCTATTGCCACGACTTGAACCCCTTCTTTGTGCAAAACGAATGGCGGAGTGTTTACTCAGTTGGCCGCCGGCACGCCCTCGTCGCTAGACAAAGCCTGCTCATATAGTTGTCACGTCCGCGCGGTGCGCCCGCATCCATACCTCTTCGCAATGGTTGCTACAACAATCGTGTCGATATCGACGGAGCTCGGTTGCCAGGGACGCCATCTTTCGGCAGGAGTCGTCATCATGTGCTCGAAGCACGTGCGGTCCGTCAGTTGAAAGCGGCGAGCGGCGGGCGGCCGCGCCCGCCCACTGTGTGTTGTTGAGGCCGCTGCTGCAGGCTGGGCCGCATCCATGGTCTGCCGCCTAGTGTGGCGACACCAGGCGTCCGCAAATAACAAACATGACGATGAGTATCAAATCCAGTGATAGGACTGGCACCACCGACACTCAGCAAACGTGACCGAGCAGATGTATAGGAGCTCCTATTCCAAACCTCTAACTAATTCCCAACTTTCCTAAACCCCCAACGTGCCTTTGGATAAGGACAACTTGGAAAAAGCACCGTCTGGCCTGGCCGGGCATCCAGTCCTGATCCGGGCCTCCCCGAGGCTTGGCGAGCCTCCAGGGTCTTGATGGGGCCTCCTTTTGATCATCTGGGGAATCTTGTCGGCCATTGAGACCTAATGCTGGTCATCCTGTTATGAAACAGGTAATGTCTCCTATTAGCCTCAAGCGCGCCTCATCAGTTGGACGTGGTCTCTTTCGGTCATCTGTGGCTTCCTGTCAGCATGATGGGCGTCCTGAAATTTGGAGGGGAGCAAACAGGTACGTTTGCACTTCTGTGCCACTGCCGGCTGCAAAGAGGCCGGCTGCCTCCTCCTGCCCCCCCCCCCCCCCCACCTTTAAGGAGCCGCCCCTGCTCACGAGCAAGATCGTAACACAAACGCAACGTTAAAAAGTTAGCGTGGTACATACAGCTCCAATTCTAATTTGGGCAGATGCAGACCAGCAACGTCCTCAACAAAATGTAGTTCGCCGATAGCACATTCATAACGTAGATTTATGAGCACAAGCACACTGTGTTCGACCCATTTGTATCCACAAGTGACATTAAAGTTCACATCTTCGGTAGAAATAGGCACAAGCACACACAACCAACTGGAACAGGTCATCAATGGAATGGTGGCGTGCTGCCCATCATTCGCGATGTCTATTTGCTGGTGTCTGCAGCCGGCCAGCGCTATAACTGGGCCTCATTGCCGCACCCTGCACATAGCGCAAAACAAATTTATTGTCCATTAAAGTGTGCGGCGCGTGGCGAGGCCGCCAACAGCTACGCGGCGGCCAGCGGCGGGCTGAGTCACGGCCGCGCGGCAGCCGGCCATTAGCGTCCCGAACGGCACGGCGGCGCCGGTCCCGCCCTCGGCCGCCAACCATGCCTCTCCCCGCCGGCCAGCACGCCCGGCGGCGGCCCAGCTCTTGCGGCCGGTCACCGACAGATGGCGCGCGCGGATGCCGCCAACCAGCCCATCTGCAGCTGGTTGGTTTGCGTGACACATTTTGCGCTTATAATTATGGTGATAATCTAGAAAAAATACGTCTTGTTAGACACTTACTGATTGGAGATCCATTCCCTTTTTAAACTCCAGAACAAAGTAACTTTTTAGAACATATTCAAGTGCGTAGACAGAACGGTTTCCAATGAGTGCTGAGCTGGTACAATATGTTTCCTGGGTATTTCAAATTAAGGACCGCCTTGTGCAGCCGTGTTGCAGGTATACTTATTATATTTTTTGCTCATCTGACCGGTGCTAAAAGTGTAGATATAACATCAGAATATCTTACCCCGGACGTTCAGACATGTCCAACACTCTATCACTAAGTTCATGAGGGTCCAACATTTTAGTGACATACTCTCTGCTGTCTCAGCGGCCAAGCATCAAATTTGTTATATATAGTTTTCGGACTTGATTTCCTGAGATGAGACCCGCATTTTCGGCGTTCACCCGCCGACCAGTGTCATCGCCGGAAACAGGGCCGCGCATGGCAGTCTTACACGCTGGACTGCGTAGATATTACAAAAAAACACCTCAAATATGGCTTGAGAATTCTTATAGCACAGCACAGGTGTCGAGTTTTGTTCTTTATGAGGATCCTTCCAACCATGTTGAGTTGGCTCCCCTAATATTGACTTGCTCCCCTAATATTTTTGGCTGGAGCACTACAAAGTGTGCAGGCATATTTTAAAAAGTTCACCATCACACAAAGGCTATCTTATTGATTCTTTCTCCCGGTGGTGTTGTTGTGGAGGGTGCAGCCGGGTAACTTGACCCCTCAATTTCCACTTTTCTTGAATGAATTGAGACGTTGCGGTTCAACCATCTCATGTCTGACGTTTTGTTTAGTTTCGTCGTTCAAATGTAAGCCCAGACACATTTTCCCCCGCAACCTGAACATGATATTGACGCCACTGATTCACCGATGTTGTGGAGGCTCTTTCATGCCGGGCAACATTTGATCTTCCACCCACGGTGGGCTACCAGCCAACATTCTTGTCCTTAAGTTCAGACCTGAATCGCTTTGCTGTAAGGCCTCATGAAAAAAAACAGAACCCAATTACATTCTTTCGCCTTTGGCACGGCATCGTTGGTTCAGAATACAGATCCAGTTCAACCGGACACGAAAATTTTGCTGGTCTTAAGCTGATGTGCTGAACTTGATTGATTCCACTCCGTACCGCGAGCACTCAGACCCCATCATCTAATTATTTTAATGAATTTTCAACGGATCCATTTTGCCACCGACTCTTATCCTATTTAAAAGGCGCAAAGGGCTTTTACCGTGACATGCGGCGACGACACTGTCGGCCGCCCTGTAACGAGGATGACGCCATCAAGCCAACGGCAAAATGGCCCACTTACGGGCCATATGCGAACACGTTTCCCTGAAAGTCGAACCCGCCGTCATTCGTTCCCCCACATCGCGAGCATGGTCAATATAGCTTCAGCACTCCACCAAGGTTCGGCTTCGTCACGACGGCCAGTGTGTCTGCACGGCAACATACGTCCTGTTTGCGAGTGTTTGGCGCATTGCGACCAGCGGGCTGGCAGAAAGGTGATGTCTGTAAACTGCCCCTCATTGACCATGTTTGCAAAAAGATCACCTGTGACCTAGAAGGCAGTAACGCATAGTCCAACTCGGATAAGCGCATGACATCATTAATTGGAACATTGGTGTTGTTTTTGACATCCCTTACGCTTTTAGGGCCAATATTACGACATGTTTGAGCCTCATTTAGATCCTGTGATCAATGCGTTTTAAGATATTTAGCTGTGCTCTTTTGCCACTTCAGGAAACTCAACGATTCATGATTGAAGGGAGTGTTTCACATTTATATGGGGTTGTGAACTGAAATGGCCATCTAGAAGATCATTTGATGTAGTTCAGAGCCCTGCCATGCTGAAGACCTAAGCCATTGTTTCTGAGGTGCACGCCCGCGAAGATGTGCGGAGTACTTCGGGGATACTATTTCAAGGTCACCTATGCATCTATGACGCCATAATAATGCCATTCAATTCATGTCATGCAAATGGCTATGCAGCAATCAATGCTGAGAACAAGTATTGTCGAGTGGCTCATATCAAGCGTTCATGAGCACAATTTCCATATATAACGACCGTCAGTTGGCTCACAACCAATATGGTGCGAGATGCGATGATGAAATCAAACCATGACGTGTTGTGGAGCATACTTACTAGACAGAGAAATAGTGTTTTTTTTTCTTTTTTCCTTTTCCGCTTAAAAGTACACCATTGGTTATAAGTGAGCTTATTTCCATAATCAGGAGTCATCTATATCTGATGTTTGCTAACATATCTTCCAATGTGGAGCATCCCCTTGGAATCAAACTTTCAGACTGCAAGGGAGAAGTGCGTCGCCGTCTGCGGCAGATAATGATACCAAAAATATATGCGGTTAAGCTGCAAGGCTCTGCGGATATCCGGAGCTCGTTTGACTCGACTTGCATCAGCCAGATACGCAATCATTGTGGAGGCGCTGTCTGCATCTCAGCAAGCACGCCCTCGATGTTCGGGTGTCACTGGGAGGCGGACCGGCATGGCTCGGGACGGCTCGGGCGGGAGTGGGAGGCGGACCTGGACGGCTCGGGTGGGACTGGGAGGCGGACCGGGACGGCTCGGGTGGGACTGGGAGACGGACCGGGACGGCTCGGGCGGGAGTGGGAGGCGGACCTGGACGGCTCGGGTGGGACTGGGAGGCGGACCTGGACGGCTCGGGTGGGACTGGGAGGCGGACCGGGACGGCTCGGGCGGGGGAGTGGGAGGCGGGCCGGGACGGCTCGGGCGAGAGTGGGAGGCGGGCCGGGACGGCTCGGGCGGGAGTGGGAGGCGGACCGAGACGGCTCGGGCGGGAGTGGGAGCCGGACCGGGACGGCTCGGGCGGGAGTGGGAGGCGGGCCGGGGTGGCTCAGGTGGGTCTGGAAGGCGGGCATGGGGTTAGTCGGGGCGGAGATAACTTATTTTCTGAATTTGGACCGGTCAAATACCGGTGCAGCAACACAGATAACGATGCAAGGATGGTGTGCGAGGATTAGGGCAGGGTGGATGTTCAAGCCGGGGTATTCCAGGCTGACTTGTCGTCAGATGCGAACCTCGCACCTGGTCGATGAGCTGACCTGACATGACCTTACCTCAGGTGCGGACGCTGTTTGTGTCGGGTCTACCAATGGACGCCAAGCCCAGGGAACTGTATCTTCTCTTCCGAGAGTACGAGGTGAGAATGGCGAATGTAAAAAGCTGTTTACGCCGCTGAAGTTATTCCATTCCTTCTTTCCACGTTTGCATGGCAATTATCTATTATGTACATGTGCGTTGTGATTTGTTTAAGATTCGGCGACCCAAGGCCGTTTTCCCAGCGCATTTGTGAGTAAATTTGAACCATTTTTCTTAGCAATTCACTGCAATTGGTGAAACAAGGGAAGGGAGGCATAGTACGAAACGACTCTGGCGACGATGCAGAGCTTCCTTGGACTACAATACCTGGACGGGCCAGCTCTGGCGCCTTGCTTGAAAGGAATGCTTCCAACTAAGCTATCCATGCGATTGGCGTGATTGGCTTTTATCACTGATTCCTGTTGCATCACTTGTATCTTCTTTTCTCAGGGCTATGAGAGTTCCTTGCTCAAAGTCACGAGCAAAAACGGCAAAACGTCGTCACCAGTGGGGTTCGTCACCTTTAACACCAGGGATGAAGCGGAAACGGCGAAAAACAGGGCGCAGGTGCGTACGCGCGACGGCTTCCCGCGGTGACTCAAAGGGCTTCCCGGGACTGTTGAAACGGTCACTCAGGACTATTGGGATGGTCTGCCGAGACCTCTCAGACGGTCGCCCGGAGCTATTCAGACGGTCGTCCGGGACTACTCAGACGGTCGTCCGGGACTACTCAGACGGTCGCCCGGAAATGTTCAGGCGGTCGTCCGGTACTATCCAGACGGCCGCCTGTGACTACTCAGACGGTCGCCCGGGACTACTCAAACGGTCACTCGGGACTGCTCAGACGTTCGCCCGGAGCTTCTCAGACGGTCGCCCGGGGCCTTTCCGACGGTCACCCGGGACTGCTCGACGGTCGCTCGAAACTATTGTCTGTCGGCTGTCGCCCGCGACCACTCAGGGGACATCTCCAGGCTGACTAGCTGCATGCAAGCACTATAGCTGCATGCAAGCAAAGCTAGATTTAGTGAATGCAGTGCTTGCCCTCACTTGACAGATGCGTTTGACGGGACCCCGCGCCTTAACATGAACCACCATGACATTCACCATCACAAACGTGCGGATGTTGCGACTCCTGGCATGTGTCACTTTGCCCACGTGTAAACGCGCGCGAATATTGACCAACCGCGTGGCATGCTGACGCCCGCTGCCGTGTGCGGCACAGGGCGCCCGGTTCGACCCGGACCTGCCCCAGACCATCCGGCTGGAGTTCGCCAAGAGCAACACCAAAGTCAGCAAGCCCAAACAGCAGGTGTCGGCCGCAGCACCGCACCCCGCACTGATGCACCCAGCCTTCTCACCCGGACGTGAGTACCCGGCCTCAGACGCACCCGGCCCTCTCACCGGAGCGCCGCCCGTGCTCACGCGCAGCCGGCCCACTGGTGTCAGCGAGAGTGCAAGCGGTCCGAGTAGCCTGTTACCGTGCCCAAACCAGCCAAGCGCCAGAACATGCGTGAGTATCCATCTTGCACACCCTGCTTTCTCACCAGACATTGGGTACTCTCGAACAAATGCACGAGTAGCCTTCTGAGTAGGTTCTAGATGTGATGCTTCAAATTCTCCATGGCTAATCTGTCGCCATGTAAATACGACCGTTTCACGCATACTCATCATAGACGCACAGCAAATATATCCACCAGCGTTTGATACGAGCATTTCACCACAATAAGTTCAATTGACAATGAATGTCGCTGATGGTGACTGGCTTCAGACCTTCTGGACATGGATCACCGGTATAGCGTCGGTTGACCTTGTGCGCTCCGCAGCTTTGCATATTTGGGTGCAGTGCATATACTTTTGTTAGCCGCCTACAAATTCGGATTTGCATCTACGATTTTGTTGCCTTTTAAGCCATATTAAGTTATGAAAAGTGGGATATTTTTATCGCAATGGTATGTTCTTGATAGCAGCCATAGCTTATGTGAGAGCAAGCAGTACGTTGCATGGTAAGGGCAGCAAGTTTTCTTTTTTCTGCAGCGATGTTTTTGGCGGCCGCCGCTCAACCGTCCCCAACATCACCTCTTGATGTCCACAGACGTGGGCAGCTTCTACAGTCCCGGTGCCGACATCTGGCAGCCGCACCCGGCGCTGGCGTACGGCGCTGACGTGCCCGGCACCATGCAGCACCCGCAGCTACTGCACCCCGCCCTGCAAGCCACCCAGCTGCCGGTGAGAGTCCGACCCGGCCGGCTCAGGTCACAGAGACGGGGTCAGGTCACAGAGAGCGGCAAGGTCACAGAGACCAGCTCAGGTCATAGAGAGCGGGCGAAGTCACAGGGACAGGGCTGGGTCACAGAGAGCGGCAAGGTCACAGAGACCAGCTCAGGTCATAGAGAGCGGGCCAAGTCACAGAGGCAGGGCTGGGTCACAGAGAGCGGTTATGTCACAGAGACCAGCCCAGATCACAGAGGGCGGCTCAGGCCACAGAGACAGGGCTGGGTCACAGAAACCAGCTCAGGTAACAGAGAGCGGGCCAAGTCATAGAGACAGGGCTGGGTCACAGAGAGCGGCTAGGTCACAGAGACTAGCTCAGGTCACAGAGAGCGGCTCAGGCCACAGAGACAGAATCAGGTCACAGATACCAGCGCAGGTCACAGAGAGAGGGCCAAGTCACAGAGACAGAGCTGGGTCACAGAGAGTGGCTAGGTCACAGAGATCAGCTCAGGTCATAGAGAGCGGGCCAAGTCACAGAGACAGGGCTGGGTCAAAGAGACCGGCTCAGGTCACAGAGAGCGGCTCAGGTCACAGAGATAGAGTCAGGTCACAGAGAGCGGCTCAGGTCACAGAGCGGGTTAGGCCACACAGACAGGCGTGACTCTGGCATTTGCGGCTCCCTGACCGGCTTCGTTAGCAGATGGTAGCTATCAAAAGAGAGCCGAGAAGCCACATCAGTATCTGTGGCTTTCAGAGAAACCTGACATCTTTAAAGATGCAGTGGGTGCGTCATTAGGTGGGCGTGTTTGATTTCCGGGCACAGTGCCCTAGTTTAGTACCACAGAGCCCGATACTGTCCCCCAGAGCATCTGCTACCTGCAGTGTCCTAGTGCAGCACCACAGAGCCTGCTCCCCCTAGAGCAGCTGTTAGCTGCAGTTCCCTAGTGCAGCACCACAGTCTGCTCCCCCTAGAGCGGATGTTACCTGCAGTGCTCTAGTGTAGAATCACGGAACCTGCTTCCCCCTCCCCCCCCCCCCCTTAGAGCAGCTGTTATCTTGCAGTGCCCTAGTACAGCATCACAGAGCCTGCTCCCCCCCCCCCCCCTAGAGCAGCTGTTATCTGCAGTGCCCTAGTGCAGAATCACAGAGCCTGCTCCCTCCTAGAGCAGCTGTTACCTGCAGTGCCCTAGTGCAGCATCACAGAGTCTGCTCCCCCTAGAGCAGATGTTATCTGCAGTGCTCTAGTGCAGAATCACAGAACCTGCTCCCCCCCCCCCTAGAGCAGCTGTTATCTGCAGTGCCCTAGTGCAGCATCACAGAGCCTGCTCCCCCCCCCCCCCCCCCCGAGTAGAGCAGCTGTTACCTGCAGTGCCCTAGTGCAGAATCACAGAACCTGCTCCCTCTAGAGCATCTGTTATCTGCAGTGCCCTAGTTACATACAGAGGCTGTTCCCGCCCCCCTCCCCCCCCCCCTAGAGCAGCTATTGTCTGCAGTGCCCTAGTGCAGCATCACAGAGCCTGCTCCCGCCTAGAGCAGCTGTTATCTGCGGTGTCCTAGTGCAGCATCACAGAGCCTGCTCCCGCCTAGAGCAGCTGTTATCTGCGGTGTCCTAGTGCAGCATCACAGAGCCTGCTCCCGCCTAGAGCAGCTGTTATCTGCCGTGTCCTAGTGCAGCATCACAGGACCTGCTCCCCCTAGAGGAGCTGTTATCTGCAGTGCCCCAGTGCAGCATCACAGAGCCTGCTTCCCCTAGAGCAGCTGTTGTATGCAGTGCCCTCGTGCAGCATCACAGAGCCTGCTCTTCCTGGAGCAGCTGTTACCGGCAGTGCTCTAGTGTAACATCACAGAGCCTGCTCCCCCTAGAGGAGCTGTTATATGCAGTGCCCTAGTGCAGCACGGGGTCTCAAAGCGTCGTCGCTACATAGTCAAGACCCATAGCATTCTCCCCTGCGCGGCGTCCGAACCGAGTGGCCACGCGAGGACTCACAGCGCTCAGGGGCTGCTGGCCTATTGAGAACAAAACACCGCGCTTCGCACGGGCCGCCAGACCGAAATACGGTCATGTTTATTCATGCACGCAAGCGCCAACGCGAGTTGAAACGGAACACTGTATTGCTCTACACGAGTGGAGAGCTTTGTCATTAATGGACAAGCACGTTCGGCGGCTAGTACAACCCACCATGCGGCACTGCGGTCTGAGAAAGTATGCTAAGCCGACAAGGCTTTTATTAATAGGCGTGTTAAATGCTTTGTTAAACGGTGACCTTGTCGCTGTGACATTGTCATCGATAAGTGCATTCAACAATCGTGTAGGCGCTTCTCCGCCCCGTAGCTCAATCGGTCAGAGCGCTTACTCCTACCCCATCTGTGGCGGCTTGGGGAGGTTCGAGTCGCCACGCTGCTCGCTGTTTGCCTCCGGCTGGGATGGCCCGCGGCTGATGCCGGCGGCAGCTCAAGGTCAGATAAGGTCAGAGGGCGCGGCGCGCCGAGCCGTGCATGGCGGCGCCTTAAATTTTCGCTGCACAACTCTGCCGTTGAAATGGAAATTCACAATCGGATCGTGGGCCAGGGCTCACGCAATAAGTCGAGATCAGCACGCGCTGTGTTCCGGGAAATCCATTCAATAAAAGTGTTGGGGCTAAGTTTATCATGCAAATGTGAGCCGGAATCGAGTAGACGTATTGCACACTGACGGTATGTAAGAGCGTATGTCAACTCGACTAGATGGCCCTTAACTAGAGCGACAGATGAAATGAAGAACGACGCAGTGGAAAGAAATGTGCACAGAAGCACACTTCACCAATTAAAAGGTCAGAACATGATGAGGACACCCACAGGGTGAACTGAACTATGGAATTGTTCACTTTCTGGATTTCGTTTTTACTATGAGCGGTGAACTGAGTGAAATATGGGCGTTTGTTTAACTTGCAAAAATTAAGCACAGGCTTGTCGGCGTCATTTGACAAAGTCGCTCGTAGCTTGCGGTTCGGATCTGCGATTGGACCACTCAGTCAATTTGTCCTCACCTGAAGGATGGTTGGCTTTTCGTGTAGTCACAGCAACAATGGTAGATGGCACGGTTCGTCCCTTCATAACCCAGTCGTAACGATATTTTTGCAGGATGAGCCGCGAAATTGCTAGCAAGCAACTATATCTCATTGAACTTAACAGTACTTATGAGTGAAGCTAAAATGATAGAAAGATGAGAATTGAAGACGGGCTGGTGAAGGCTATACATTGAAACACATCCTGCCAGTCAGTGAGACGTTTTGAACTCAAAGTGACCGCCGCAATCGATGCGCCCTTAAAACTCAAATATCGTGGACGTTTGGATAGCAATGTTGAAAGCTGGCCACGTGGCAAGGTTTAAAGCATCTTTTGTAGCGCGGCAGAAGTGAGGTGATGACAAGCATTGGTATTACCATAGAGATTACACTAGAGCGCAAATGGGCGAAGCTGGTTGACTTGGGGTGCCCACGCGAAATAGCTTTATCAGTGCATCAGACGATTTTGTAAAATTAGGTTGTCGGTGCCATTAATCGGAACGATGAAACCGGAGCTGTTCTTTCAGTGCAGGCTGATGTGGGGCGCCATCCGAGCCATGACCATGTAAGAACAGTCTCCTGCTTCTGCAATAATTACCTAAAAATGGTGCAAAAAAGTAAACTTATGTTGGGGAAAGCGATCAGGATTTCGAATCAGGACGTGATGGTCATAGGCTTGGTCGAAACCTGATTGGGGGTAAGCGTGCCACCGTAAATCAAATGTTGAAGATATCATGCCTGTCTACAGCTTGGACAGCCTGCTTGGACAAGGCAAAAAGACATGTGTATTTCCTTTTCTCCCTTCCCCCTGTCTTTGCTCGGTGGCCATGTCGCAGGGGTGCATGGAAGGTCACATCAGTACATAGCAACGAAGGCTGGGCATGTCAGTAGGTGACCAGTGAAGCACTGGTGAAATGTTCTTCAATTAAAATGCTGGTCAGGTACTTTTCTGGTATTATCGGGCGCCACTAAGCTTGTAACACATTTGTTTCTTCCATAGCTTCATCAACTCAAGTAAAATGGGGAAATATATAGCAGTCGTGAGCAATGCATGCAACTGTGGTCAAATACCATCAAAGAGCATCAATCAACCTTGGCGCCCACGATAGCACGTGCTCCAGGTACCCTCCATTTCGTTCCACATGTGCAGCATCTCTTGAGCACATATGTCTCACAGTAGCGCGCGTATGGCAGCACTGGTAGTTCACTTGAGTTGAGCTAGCGCCTTCGGATTTTATGAACACAGCACATGAGCTAACCCCATATATCATAACATGGCGGCAAGATTGGGCTAGTGCACTGGCCAAAGTGGAGCTGGAAAAAATCAGCTCGAGGTAAAAAGGGCAAGCCCGTTCCTCAATTATAAGGTTGTGAAATGCATTTGCTAGGAACATTATTCACATAGATAAAACAATAGCAATAGCCTTATTCCGCGAAGAAAAAACAGAAGAATGGAGGTATAGATGCATTGATGTTTCGGCAACATGCCTCTATCGAAACAATAGCAGAAATGCTTTTGTTTCCATAAATATTTTGATGTTGTTTCAAGAAAGGCATGTTGCCGAAATATCAATGCATCTATATCTCCATTTTTATGTTTTTTTCTCCGAAAAATAAGGCTATTACTACCGCCTAATCTGAGTTTGTTTCTCCTGCTACTATTTACCCTTCTCTTGTCATGTCTAAATTTTGCGGCACCGAAATCGTTTTCATGAATTTAAATTTCATATGTAAATAAAATAAGTAGGAAGTGCGTGCTCAGACTTACACCTGTTTCAATCAATGTACTTCCTTTTATAGACAGCCCGTACATCAACACCGTGCAGGTCTCAAAGTCCTAAGTCCAGTCTTAAGTCTTAAGGCAGCTGCACCACCAGCAGCTGCCATAGAAACGCCCGACAGTCGATGGACGCGGCGACGCTGCCATGCGGCCCGACAACGGCCCGGCCGTTTTCGAGTCACCGGTATTCGGTGCGTTCTTCGCACGCGGCGGTCGATGCCGGCACGCCTGGTGGCCGCCGCCACCGTCCGGCACGCCCAGCTATATCGACCGGCCACCCCGCCGCAGGTGGACAGTGGACCTCGGGCCAGGCACCCACTGCGGCCCTGATGGCCGCCCCGACTCAGCCATCGAGCGGCTGCCTACGCTGCGTGTAGCACAAGGGCCCTGGACTCGGGTTTTCCAGGGTGGCTGGGCTACCAACTTTCGGAAAATTTGATATCCGGAATTAAACTGAAAGCATTAGTAGTAAAGGCGAGCTGGCGTTCTGAGTGTTGGCTGGAAACGAACTTATCAATAACTGGCTAGAATCCTCTTGAAAAAGGCACAATATTCATTGCGCATGCCCATTCTCCAGCATACAAATGCTTACTGTTCTTGGAAATTGTGAACGACTGTACTTGTTAGTTGTGCCTCCGACTGCTGCAGTCGTCGTGGAGCCCTGCGTGACCCCGCCGTGACCCGTCCCTTTGCTGGCAGGCGCAGCTGCAGCTGTCGTGGAGCCCTGCGTGACCCCACCGTGACCCGTCCCTTTGCTGGCAGGCGCAGCTGCAGCTGTCATGGAGCCCTGCGTGACCCCGCCGTGACCCGTCCCTTTGCTGGCAGGCGCAGCTGCAGCTGTCGTGGAGCCCTGCGTGACCCCGCCGTGACCCGTCCCTTTGCTGGCAGGCGCAGCTGCAGCTGTCGTGGAGCCCTGCGTGACCCCGCCGTGACCCGTCCCTTTGCTGGCAGGCGCAGCTGCAGCTGTCGTGGAGCCCTGCGTGACCCCGCTGTGACCCGTCCGTTTGCTGGCAGCCCGCAGCTGCAGCTGTCGTGGAGCCCTGCGTGACCCCGCCGTGACCCGTCCCTTTGCCTGGCAGGCGCATCTGCAGCTGTCGTGGAGCCCTGCTTGACCCCGCCGTGACCCGTCCCTTTGCCTGGCAGGCGCAGCTGCAGCTGTCGTGGAGCCCTGCGTGACCCCCGCCGTGACCCGTCCCTTTGCTGGCAGGCGCAGCTGCAGCTGTCGTGGAGCCCTGCGTGACCCCGCCGTGACCCGTCCCTTTGCCGGCAGGCGCAGCTGCAGCTGTCGTGGAGCCCTGCGTGACCCCGCCGTGACCCGTCCCTTTGCCGGCAGGCGCAGCTGCAGCTGTCGTGGAGTCCTGCGTGACCCCGCCGTGACCCGTCCCTTTGCCCGCAGACACAGCTGCAGCTGTCGGGCCTGAACACGATGGGCTCGCTGCCGCTGCTGTCTCACGGCGGCCTCGGCTCGCCCACCTCACTGGCCGGCAACACGCCCTGCTCCACGCTGTTCGTGGCCAACCTCGGCCAGACCATCACCGAGCAGGAGCTCAAGGAGGTGTTCGGCAGGTGAGACGCCGCCGGTTGGACAGCCGGGATCGGACGGCGGGGCAGAGTGGACGCCATGCTGCACTGGTGGAAGCTCACATTAGCGGAGGCTTGCCTGGAGGCGCTGGTCTTGGTCGGGCTGTGCTTCGAACCCGTGGTGTGACTCGGCATCCCCGGCTGTCAGTCGCACTAACTGCCAGCAAACTCACCGAGCAGCAGCCTCAAGAGCCGGCAAGCCTGCAGAGTAGCATCTCACTGGTTGCCAAACTTACCCAACATCCCGTTTCCCGGACAGATAATCCCACAGACACAACACAGCCCACATCGACATCTACGAGCCTGTGTTTCATTTCTAACTCAAATCCGCGTTTTTCACCTAAAAACATTGCCTCAGCTAAACAGCAGATGCTGCCGGGCCCACCGCTCGGCGTCAGCTGACTGGGGCGTCGAGAGGCGCTGGTGAGCGGGCTCACCCTACTAACTGGTGCAGTCCACCCGGCGCGAGCACCCAGCTGACGCACCCTGTCCTGTGCCGCTCACAGCTTGCCTGGGTTCACGCGGCTGCGCATGCTCACCAAGGGCGGCTCGCCCGTCTCGTTCGTCGAGTACCAGGACACAAACCACGCGGCCGTCGCCATGGCGATGCTGCAGGGCTTCGTGTTGTGCCCGGACCGAGGCGGCATTCGAATCGAGTACGCCAAGACCAAAATGGTGGACAACGGTGAGCAGCGGTCTGTGGCGTCCCATTTGCTGGGTTTTGACGAAGCTGTCTGGTTGAAATGGCAGATTGCAAACCAGCAGCATGAACAAAGGGCAGGCACATGGAGCGTGGCTGCTCTGTGTTTGAGTGCCCATTTGTCGTATGTCCGCCGATGCGCCGCGCGCACGGGTAACCCATCCTGAGTTGCTCACTTTAGTGAGGTATAGCAACATTATTCTATTGACCGTCCTTTGTAATAAATTATATTAATGGATATTTATTGTATATATATATATATATATATATATATATATATTCTTGTGTTGTAATCATAACAGGTCTTTGATACGGTGCACTAATACGACAGATTTCATTAACCGCCTCTGAAAACCTCTTGCCACCCCGCAGCCGTGGCATTGAGCAGCATCCTGTCAGAACGACGGCTGGATGCGTGCTCAGTTCGGTCGGCTGAGTGCTCCTCCATCACCACATCGTTCGGTTTCAGGGACCCAAGATTAAGGCTGACCAACATAGTGCTGCAGTGAGCGGGCGGCTGACGACGAATCTTCTCCGCCGACCCGAGGCTCCTCCTGGTGCCTCCGCTGGCCTGAGGCTCTTGTTGGTGCTCCTGCCGACCCGAGGCTCCCCCCGGCTCCCCTGCCGGCCTGAGGCTCCTCCTGGTGCAGAGGCCGGGCCGCCGTGTGCGTCCATCCGACCCACGGCTGCCGAACATCGACAGCTGCGGCTGCAGCTGCCGAACGCCGCCAGCCGCAGCTGCTGCGTCTGCTGCCGGCTGCGTCCGACTGTTAGTCTTTCAGGCGCCAGGCGGAGCCCTCAGCGTCTGCGCGGCCGTCGGCGGACCCCGACCGGGTCGGGCGCGGGCCGGACCGATTTCTGGCCTTGCATACACGCTAACATATCAATGCCGGCCTTGGACTACTATAGACCGATGCTCTGTAAAATTGTATTTTCTGTATGGGCGTTCGTTACAATGCCGTGTCGAACTTGAAACCACTGTTGATACGAATGAAGTGACGTTAGGTAAGCTTATAATGTGACTTCCATGTATTTCGCAATAACCCACAGATTAACTGGTAACCTGGTAGAGTTTTGAGTAGCTCGCAGCTAGGAAAAGTGCCTCAGAAAATAAGGGTGTAATAATTCAACGTTTTGGATTTCCACTGCACATCATACGGACTATCTCGTAGTTTCCCACCAAACCTCAAGCTGTTTCATTCCATGCTCCTCGATTTCGGAAAGTCAAAAACAGCGCATTCCCCGCCCTCCGGCGATGGAGAGCTTGCTGCCGCTTGCTAGCTGCTAGTGTTCCCGTCACCACATGCTGCTCTCTCGAAGAAGCCCAGCGCGTTTGATTTCCCCTCAACGCCAGCAGACCACACTCACATATCACTCCATGAGCCCATACTTATCGAAGCCTTAAAGCTGTCCGCTTGGAGCTGCAGTACTGGGACCCATTGGTCGCACGTCCTCTCTGGTCCGTGCGCGTCGGCTGCGCTCGCTCGCGACGCAGCCCACCCAGAGTGCCGCCTGCCCCGCCGGAGCAGGAACTGGCCGGGCCAGACGTCTGGTCCGGCAGCGGCGCCGTGGCTGGCAGCGGAGGGCCGGCGGGACGGCGACCTGCCGGTCCCGCCGACTCGTCTCCGGTCACCGGGCCGTCCCGCGTCCTGATTCCGTCCACAGTAGCTGCAGGGCGCGGCCGGCGCGGCGCGCGCTCGTCGGCCGACCACAGACGTTTGTGATATGGGGAGGCGCGGCCGGTGTGAGACGCCGCACGCAGTCAGCCGGCCGCGGGCGGCATCGACCGCGACGCAAAGGTCAGACGTGCGGCGCGAGACCGGCCGGCCAGCATCGATCGGCGCGCCGGCATCAGACACATTACCGATGGACGCCGAGCGTTGCCTTAAAACTTGATATCTTCGGCTGGTAGGTATCTGCAAGGCCCGTATGTGGATAGTGTTTGTAATTGCCAGCCGAGTGGTCCGCGTGCTTCGCTGGGACGGCGATGACAGCGCGGCCATGTAATATTAAATTGTAGGTACGTTCCCTTTGTACCTTACGGAAACCCAACATATCAGTCGTCTCCCTCCGAGGTAGCTAGACGGGTGCAGACCTTGATGGAAGCCGTGTGCGCTTGCGTTGCGTCTGCGGGTGGATTTCGAATCTCATGCGGAAATCTCGGCGGATGTGCGCGCTCGCGAGGTGCTCCGTTTGGGGCAACACGCAGCGATAATGAGCGATGCGCGCTACGCTCCGAGGCTTTTGATAGTCCTGCTCATTGATCAACACTGAATAGAGGCCTTCACTTGGGAAATTCATGCATATCAACCTGCCTGTCCCATCGATGCAAGGACGTGCTGCGAGCGATCTTGTGTGTCTGTGTGTGCTTGTGTGTCTGCTTGCTTGTGTGTGCGTGTGTGCGTTGTGCACACGCCTTCGGGAGTATGTGAAGCATTCCAAACCTTTCATTTGGCGCTGGTTTGCAATTCAACGCTGCTTGCAGTAAGCTTTGAGCATTCCAACCTTTCAAAAGGCGATACCTTCATGTACATTACCTAGTAGACTAGTGCGGAGTTCATCGCAAGTGCATCGCAAGTAAGGATCCTCCTGTTAAACCAGTTAACTAGAGGCTCGCGCGCACCGCTGAGTTTGCCATGTAAATAGGTAGTGGGTGTCGACTTGAAGTAAGACGTTATTATTCTGAGTGAGAGGTCTCAGAAGGCTGCATCCCAAAGAGTTTAAGTTGATAGTCACTGGGCGCTACACATCTGTAATGCGACGAGTGCGAGTACTTCACTTGTTGAGACACGGCAATGACACGCTGTTATGGTGCACCGCATCCATTTTATTTGCTTTCGTAGGTGAAGTAGCAGATGATATTATCAATATCCCGAAGTAGCAGCCCATATATGACCCGGCGTGTTCCAAACATTTGACGCCTGTGCCCCACCCCGCCCCTGTGACTGCCAACAGCCACAGTCGTCCCAGCAGTATGACTCTGGTGGCTCCGCAGGCTCTGGAGGTGGCCGCCAGAGTAGGCGTTCCAGCTCGGAGTGTGTTCTACACTCGCTACCTCCCGTGAAACAGCACTGATGCCTCGAGCACTAGCGAACTATTCTCGAACCAATTTTAATATTTTCTTTTGATTCGTTAAAAAACATATTTTCATGCCTTTGGGTCTTGCATACTTGATGTCCCGATCCTGCAAACATGCGCTAAGTGATCAAGACATGTCTTTAATTGCGTCACGGTGTTGAGACCAGCTGCGTTGTGATTAGATCGATATAAGTTACGCTTCGATATCACAAATATTCCATTTGTTTCTCTCCACGTGAAAACGTAATTTGACATGTCATAGTACCTTAGCCTAGTCAATGATTGTCGGCATGTTTGACCTAGTTTTGTAATAGGGTTCAAGATGGTGTGAAAGGCGGCTAAATACACATTGTTGTACCAACATGTTTTAGCAATCAATTGTCAAAACGCACACGAAAGGAAGGATGCCGTTTCGTCGATCACTTGGCATAAACATGAACGTCGTCCAGAGGAGCGGCGCATCCAACATGCTGCTGGTTTCGTCGAAAGTCGAGAGAAATACGGGAGTGAAAGACTCCGTCCGACGAATGCAAGAAAGGATTGCTCGGAAGAAATGCGCTTTCAGAGCTGTCCGTCATATGTCATGACTGCCGTGATGACTGATGATGTCATTGACTGATGGTCGCCGTCTTCTGCGACGTGATTCATTGGTTGCCTGGAACACAAACCACTGAGTGTGTCATTCGCATTAGAACTTTCGAAGTCGTTTAATAAGAGAATTAATGTGAGTCAGTGGGGTATAACGAGCCATCGGATTCTCACTTGCTTTGTAGAGGGCGGTGACGTCGCTGGTGCCCGAGATTTAAACGCTGCGCGGTCGCTAGCCGCAGAGACATCGGACATCGTCATACATATAATGAACAAACTGTTAGCGAGAGGCGCATATGACCAGCGAGCCAATTAAGCAGAATTTAATCGCAGATATTATGCTGTGCCTTGCAAGCCTATCCCACTATTCATGAAGAACAGTGCAAAGACATGGGAAGTGGAAACGTGCACAGTAATTCCACTAGATATCACGGCTGGAGCATCGGGTTTTCTTCGTATCGATAAGGAACAAACTGTTAGCGGCAGGTGCGTATGTCCGGTTAACCAATCGTGTGGCATTTAACGCCAAATATAATGATGCGTTAAGCCTATAAGGCCAACCATAACGATGAAATCGGCGTTGAAATTGTAAACTCTTACGCGAGATCTGCAGCAGAAGTGGGCGGACGGGATGTCGCATTGTCTTTGTACAGATAATGAAGAACCCGTAAGGGGTAGATCCATACAGCCAATGGACCGAATCCGTGAAATTTAATGGGAAGCTCGATGTGCTAATCACAAGTAGATAAACCTCGTGGTCAAATTCAATCAGTGTAAAAAGCGAAAACAAGCACCTGTGGGCTGTTGGAGATTGTAGCCTGAATATCGGGCTACCTTCTTACCAGTAACAAGTAGATCATTACTGATACGTGAGTATATCTGTGAACCGCTCAGGTGTAATTAAAGCGTAAGCATGTGCTTTGCGAGCTAATATTCAGCAAAGCCGTCAAAAATCCATCCGCGAGGGAAGTGAATACGCCTACGTGGGGGTGCGGTTATACTAGGGAGGAGGAACAGCTCAACAGGTTTCCTAAAATTAAGCATTCATTGCATGGCCTTGACCGGAAAAGCAACCAAAATGGCCTTCGTGCCCCCCCCCCCAACCTTACCAACTTAGAACTTTCGTCGCCCCTGCGCCAATGTGGGAGACGGCACACATATGCTACGCTCTGATCGTAAAATCCTTTTTTACAAGTATAGGCAGCTCGGTGTTACGTAGAGCTGTATGAAACAAGGGAAAGCCCATATTTTGTTACGAAAGCCCATGTTTTGCTACTTTTGTTGTTGCGGAAGACTGAACAAGCCAAAAAATAGCCAGCCATGAACCAGATTCACATACGCGCGCGCATTACCCATTATTTGTTTGGATGTGCTGCCATTTTTGCCCTTCTTGCCCCTTTGATTGGGTGTGCTGCCCTAACAGACTATGCCCAGGGATGGAGTAAATACAATTAATGGAGCACACTGCCACCCGTATACACACAGAGATTCATCAGTTGTACAGCTAGCGCTGTTCTGGCTAAAAACAAAGTTATCACAGATGCATTTATCGTGTATCGTTCGGTTTGGCCGCCCAAAATTCTACCTGCATGCCAGTTTGACGTTAAACATAGCACCGCACATGAACGTTTTACGAACGCAACGTACGTAGGTCGACACTCACGGTGGCTGAGCAGGTAGATAGAGAACGAGCGAGGAACGAGCGGGGGGAAAGAGCGGAACGAGCGGACAGGGAAATGTCGGTCCCGTGAGCACGTGCGGACCGAGTATGGATGGCCTCGCAACAGGCAGACAGAGCGCGGCGAAATGAAGGCGGGTACGAACCGAACACGGCCGGCACCGAGGGCGGTTACAGACCGAGCGCGGCGGAATGCAGATACCGGGCACGGACCGGACGCGGCGCATCGGGCGCATCAAGCGCGAAAAATAGCTGCAGCAGACAACAGACTCTACACGCTCGCCATTCATTCGCACCGCTAGCCGCGGCACGACCTAGGGCGCGAGGCCGTGTAAGATCGGGGTGCATTGCAAAGTCCTTGCGCTTAAGGTTGTTACGGACATCATCATACTCGTCGCTAAATTGTACGCAATCGGCCAGCTGGATATATACATCTGCCACTAGCATTTTGCTCGTTTTCGGTTTAGACAGTGCGATGTTCTTGCCGCCCTGCGCCGAATGAGTGTCGCGTGTATGTCCTCACTTTTCAGGCCATTGCATTTAATGACTTGCCGCACAGGCTTGGAAAGCACAGCGTAATGATTCCATAAAATCATGCGTGAGCGGCTCTCTTGCTTTATGCACCTCCCGCCAACGGATCTTACACCGTCTGTATGAATAATTCGATGTTCCGGCTGCCTCCAGCACCGCGTCCGCCGCCTGGCGGCCCGCCACGCTTTGAAGCCGTAGCACCAGTAGCGGCAGGCTAACCTCCGGCGGATATGAACCAGGGTCACCGGGGGTTTTGTCTCTCTTATACAGCCATGAGCTTGCCAAAAAAGGTTTGTGAGCTAAAGTTGTGGGAAAAAAGATAGCTTCATATCTTCCTGACTTATTTAGTTGAGTTGCCATCTTTATTCGTCCTATATGAGACCCGGCAATGTCGACGACCATGAACGTTTTCACGGAATTATGATCTATATAACTAGGATATCCCAATTAGTTTAAATGCTACCTATGTAACTTTGCGTATTTTTCAGAGTTCAAGATGGCGGCCGCCACCGTCTTCACTGTTGGTCAAATTTCAAAGTTTTTTGGGACGACTTGGAGTATCGTGGTATATCGCTTCCAAGGGTTTTCGAAGGTGGGTAGCTCATTTCTGCCGTAACTTATTGTATACGGGCCAGAGCCAAGGTCCAAATCGAAAGTCGAAGGTAAAACTTGGCCGTGAATCAGAATCACCTCTAGTGATCAATATGTGCTGTTTGTTTTCTTCTCGCACTCATTGAAGGATATAGCTCCCACAGCTACATGTGCTAAAAGCCATAATGATATGGGCATGTGCTACATGCATGGGCATGCATTATAAGAACTATACTGCCACATAGGCATGTAATATCGTAGTAGACGGCATACCTTGGGTCACAAAACATGCTACTGTAACTATGCGTTGAGGAGTAGAGACAATAAGCAAGAAAAACTTCGCGTGTTCTTATCGCGATTCCCAAAAAGTTGATGAAATGTCAATATATTGACTTTGATTCTAAGTAAGACCCTGCTGTCTGGGAAGCAATGTGAGCCGAAAGACAGCTGTACCCACGCATCTGGGTAGCAGGCTAAAATACGTAAAACCGCAAAAAAACGCGATGAAATTACGTTTAAGTAGCTGATTGATGGCCTCTTGGGATCGAGTGAGATCGCTTACGTTCAGTGGGGATGACTGATCTACATCCTGCCGACGCTCAATACCATGTGCCTTGTAACAATCATTTGTGTGCTGTTTCTGTGCACCACCCCTCTATCAAGGCGCCTGCCCACATCCTCCCGGTCGGGTGCTCTCGGGCTGACTCCAAATAGTCTCTCAGCTCCTTGTGTGACTTGTTGCCATTAACTACAAAATCCACAGCACCACGACGCTCATGAGGCGGCAGCCCTTGGGGCGTTGATTCATGTCTTCCCGTCTGCCAATCTGGTGATGCCGCCACCAAACGCTGCCCTCGTCATTGTGTCCACGAAAGATCCCCTCATCAGTGTTCTACTCAGGCCAGAATACTCATGGGAGTGTGCATCATGCCCGCATGAGTGCAGTATGAGGTAGATAGGTATGCAGTTAGCTACAAATGGAGGTCGGCTGTGAAATAAGCGTGCCGCATCCCGAGAACACTGAGAGCCCTTTCGAGACACACAAGCGTAGACAGAAGGGTGTCTGGCTGTAGGCAGCGAGTCGGCCATCGGCCCGGACACCGCCATCACTTAGGTTTTAGGGTGGAGCCTGCCACCAGTCGGCCTTGCTGTGCGCCGAATCACGTCCTCTTGGTTGGCTTTTCAGTCTTGTGAACTTCCGACAGTCATGCCGCGTTTCACTGCTGACTGAACCTGACGGCAGTGGACTGAAGCCATGGCTCTTCAGCGGGCAGAGCTTTTGTCGGAAGCTGAGGTGCGTTCAGATTGGAAGGCCCCCTCGTAGTGCCGCAGCTGCATAACCTGGTGGTTGAGTCGCAGAGGAGGCACCTTGTCATCACCGTGCTGCTGCAGAGGTTGTACTTGAAGGCGCGAACACCTACCAAGAGCTGAGAGACTACCTGAAGACAACTAAATAGGACCTGAACAGAATATGTGAGTAAAATGCTTCTTCAAGATCTTCACTGCTGGCGCCCATGCTCCTTGCGGAGGGCGGAGCGACGTCTTCCTCCTTCAGCAGCACTGTCTCGAAGGCAATGCTGCCGTATTTTTCCGTGGCAGGTCACCACAATTATGCTCGCTTACTGAGCTGACATGTGAGACAGAGGAAGTACTTCCCCAGCGTGCCAAGGAGCAGCTACTGGCGGGCGCGAACGCCTGGCGACACTGACGAGATCGCAGTAACAGCGGATCAGATGTTGGTTGACCTCGGTCAGCTGCTGTACCACGTCATCCATCCAGTTCCTGAGACCGCAAAAGAGCTGGCTGAAATTTCGGAGACTCGACTGGCCCACTGCACTCCTAGCTCCCCCTTCCTCCCCCCCCCCCCCCCCCCGAAGAAGCTCCCCGCAACTCCCTCCCGAAGAAGAAAAGCTAGAGATTTGGCCAACTTTGGTTGAAGCGTTGAAATATCCACTAGCGTGCTGGTGATCTCAAC